AGTAAATAAAACCAATTAACAACACTGAAAGGGAAGTTTCGGATTACAAACCTATGGTTGATACGGATATACCCATCCTGTGGGCGGAGTTTTTGGGATCAAAGCCCAGACCCGATTGGCGCTTAGCATGTCGAATGTCAGAGAGCCAGGAATGGGCAGTGCGCATTGGTCCCAATGACCTCACCCACATGTCGCTGTCTTCGCTAACTATGAATCTGGTTCGCTGTCCCTCGCTTTCTGCTTCGAACCTGTAACATTCCAAATCCAATAACGCCTACATTTAACGAATGGCTAAAACTCACCTCTTGTTTAGATTTGGTATAGGAATACCTAACTAAGTAACAGTTCTTTTTGCATTCATCAATTACTACTTTTTGATCATAGCACTGCACTTTACTAACCAGGGAATGTCAACAGCCAGTCCGGGCATTTGCAATGAGGTGCAGTTGTTATACAACCTTGAGACGATGAGCTCATATGTCTCCACCTTCAGAATTTGCGATACGCTTCTCTGAACGGAGTTATTGAGGTTTTTCTCACAGTTTTTTTCCTTGAAGGCGCTCCGGCGCCCAAGGGCCGGTACTCGCAGGCGCCGAAGGGCCGGCACCTGTAGCGCGCGGAATAATCAGCTTCGAGCGAAACGGGTGCAATGTTCGTGTTCAGGGGGTCAAATAACCCCTAAGAGTGGCAATCTAACAAAATCTGAGGTTTATCTCGACTTCGAAAAAGCTGTTTTGGGTTAGTTACCCCGTTCAGAGAACCGTTTCGTAAATTTGAAGGTAGATTTGAGTTCATCGTCTTAAGACGCCTATAACGGTATACACCTCATTGCAAATGGTCGAACTTACCTGTTGACCTTCCCTGGTAAGGATGTTTAGAAATTAAGTGTAATTCAATTAATTCAGAGAAGTGCCTAACTTACAATAAGCAAGTTCTCAATTTGCACGCGGCTCACTTTTTTCTCCATTGTCAAACCAAAGCTATTTTTGTAGCTATTTTTGTGTCAACTTTTGTGGAAGGAAAAGCCAGTAAGCAGCATTTCGGGACTCAGTCGTTTCCTAGAGGGTGTGGCCTACTCCCATTCTGAAGAAGAATGTATTGGCATAGGCAGGCAAAAAACATCTCTCCTCATTCGTCTCCCTCTCATCCAGTAATTTTTGAAACTTTTCGGCGCATAAGACTGGTTCTCGTGTTGTTTTACTACCATATCCAGTCTTGCCTGGTATGGTTCCGTGGTTATGTTTCGTTGGTCCAGGAATAATAACCCGCGATTGTGTCGCTGGTCTCCCTCTCTCTCAGTCTATCGCTCTCCCTCTCTCCTGCTCTCTCTCGTCTCTCTCTCTCATCTCTCTTCCTTCCTGCTTTTTTCAACCTCTGTCCTTCTCTACGCATACAGTTCCCCCAGATATCCCTTAACGACCCAATCAGAGCTTATCATATGGGCGGAGTCAGAGTTACCATTGCGCCATTTCTTTCTGGGCGACATTTCTTGGCGACATGCATGGTGTGGCGTATGAATTGAGTGGCAAATCAAGTCTGACACCGCTGATACGACCAGCGCTGAATATGCATTTGGAAAACTGCAAATTTAGAATTTTAGGGAAAATCTACAAAATTTGTATAAATAATAATCAAATCAAACGAAGAAAATAAATCCTATACTATTCATAACAGCCAATGGACTGTGAAGAATCAGCACTTGATGAATGCGAAAAGTAACTCACTGACTCTCTAGTTGCCCCCCCCGCCCCTCTACTCACTGCATCTGCTCGTTTTGTTCTGCATGTGCTGCACTCTTTGCAGGATGTACACACGATGATTATGGCCTCTCGTTCCAGTCATGAATTACGAGTGCCACGTGAAGAACCGCTACTCTCCAAATATCCGTCATCATCGCAAGCCTACAGACCATCACCTCAACCGGCATTCAGGCCTTCACCTATCATGCCTAACTATCGGGAAACAAGTGCCTAAGGCGCTCTGACGTAATACTGCTCATTAAAGCTTTTCCTTTATTGTCTTACCTGAAGAAATCTCCCTCTCGCTTCATTCGAGTGTTTTCATCGCATTGCCATCGCCTCTGTTGATCTTTCGATGTGCTGTGAATGTGTGTCAGTTTGAAGACACATTCCGCTATAAGCGGAAGAGCGGAGGAATTGGTGGAAGCCCTAAACCCAACATAGGACCTTCTTCATTGGTGCGTTCGTCTTTCAAATGCATTCATGGCACGGACGCACCAATAAAGAGGGCACAGTTGTTGTGAGGTCCCGCCTATTTCTCCCCTCCCCAATCCGATTATCGCGGAATGTCTCTTTGATTATACTACTCTTCCAGGTGAATGTGTGTCCCCATGCTAGCCTTAACTTCAGAAAACCCCTCAAATTTCCTCATTTTTTGTACCATAGTTTTACTATTTTTTCAGTTTTGTGCTTCCCTTTTTTCGTTTTATTTTGCTGAATTGTCAGAACTGTTTATTGTGTAATAAGAGGTTTGTTTTATGAGAAAATTTCTTGGTCTCATTTCAATGATATTTGTGAATAAAGAAACTCAAATCTCTGAACAGGGGATAGGAATGACAGCAGGCTTTCGGCCTGTTCCTAAAGAATTTTGAATGGTCTCAGATGGGTTAGTGACTAATCGCGAGCGAGTTTTTATGCTTCAAACGGGAATGATCTTTCAAAGCAATTTTTTTGCAAAGCTTAAAACGTCATCGCAAAGCACAAAATCCCTCCTTTCCCACAAGTGCTACAGTTTTTCTGAAGACTCGCTAGTTTGGAACATACTTGCGATAGGTCATCCGTGGCGAGATTCCGAGCTACTTCTGTGGTTTTACGTTTGCAAACATAAGCATACCTTCGAACATATTTCCCATGAAGTGAGCGAAAGTATAGATAGGTTAGTGTTGATCGATTTCGTCTGAGTCCGCGCCATGCATCCGACCGCCGCTCTGAATGATGGTCGTATATGAAGTATGCCACCTCACAAAATGGCTCCATCGTATGGGAGGATGTCTTCGTAGTTATGGATACATGAGCCGCAACCTCCATCCAGACATAGACATTAACTTAAAGTACATTTCATCAACGTCCATTTAGCTCTTCAAATCCTCACATGGGCCTCGCTTCAGCGCATGCGCGCTGCACTTCGTTGCCCGGTGCCGACTGGCTCTTGAAGTTTACGTCCCCCCCCTCCTTCCACACCGTTCGAAGTACGACCCTCCTGCCCCCCCCCTTGAGGGGTTTCTCACAACGATGCTGTACCCTGAGCACCACTACTCTACTTTCCATGGTTGCATTTTGCACTCTTTTAAGGCTGATTATTTTGATATACGCAAGCGCTGCACTTTCATAGTGCAGTTAGGGTCGGGGAGCGGTACCTAAGTTCCCCTCTCCGTCCTTCAGCCCGGCACTGATGTCAGTCAGGGCGTGTCAGCAGCGCGATGTTTTGTAAGTCTTTGAAAATTCGGCTATTCTGCTTCCTTTTTAACTAGTCAAGGTCAGACAGTGTTTTTCTTCTTGCAGTTATCCGAAAACAGAAGAACCGCCTCATTCAAGCGGTATGGTCAAAGAGAGATGAAAAAAGGGGTGACATAATCATCTCGCAGCAATGGAGAGCGGTCTTTTTGAAAGAAGTGGAAAGGGCATAATTTTGTGTTTCTAGGCTAAATTTTGGGCGCAGTTCGGTAACAGGGGGGGGGGCATTTTGCACTTTCACTGCTTCACTACTTCCGGTTTACAAGTCTCACTCGGTGAAACTTGTGAACTCTTGTGAAGCTGGAGCAAGCTCGTCTAGCCACCATGGTAAAACGTGTCAACTCAAGAAAAGGCTATCTAGATGGTTCGACACATCAATGGGAAGCAAAATGCCCTTCCCCTCTCCCTGCCCCCCCCCCCATCGCCGAACTGCTCCGAAAATTGTACTGAAATGCATTCTCATACCGGCAATTGACACAATTTTTTGAGCGTGTCCAAACCTTTTCTGTAGCTGAGTCCGTAAGATTCATAGGTGGGTGGCAATGTATACAGGGGTGGCCAAAAAAAGTCACTTCGACCGAGTCACATATCAGCAAAGTTTTCGCAGCC